TGCTGAAAAACAACACCTCCTTGTCTTCCTCCTCCCCTCTTTCCTGCCCAGAGAGAATAGTTTCTTTGCAGACTGATCTATTCCCAGATCACATTGCCCATGCTGCTTTGTAGCAGTGTGTTCTGAAGCAGCCAGGAGGGCAACCTGGGGATGGGGAGAGGTACTGAGAAGAGGTTCTTGTCATTACGTGACTTTAGACCACTATAGTGAATGGCCAGAGTGCTGTTGGGCAAGTCTCAGAGGCAGAGATGTGGTAAGAGCTGGATATTGCTCTTGGGATGTGTTTTGTTCTTTGTGGCTGCTCTTGCTTTGTCTAAGTCCAACCTGAATATTCCTGGGATGTTTAATAATTACTTATCTCAAGTCCTTAAGGATTGTTATATTTTTATTTTTAAAAATACCTGCCTTGCAAAGGGTTTTTTGGTGTTTTTTTTTTTCTCGTTGGTCTTTTTTTTTTTTTCACAAGCCTCTCTGCAAGCTGGTGGTAGCTGTGGAAGGTAGTTTGCTGAGTCCTAGGGAGCTATCGATCCCAGTTTGTGTTAGACATTCAAATGAACAAAGGTTTTGCAAGCTGAAAGCAGAGCTCTGCGTTTTGGACAAAATCCACTTCCCTCAGCAGGCCTTGCAGGTGGTATGTTTAGTGTTGCTTCTGATTTGTTTGTAGGATCTTCCTTGTTTTCAGCAGCTGCCTGGTTTTCGGCACATGTAGCTCATAGCTGAACTGTGCCGATATGTATATATGAACTGTGGGAGGGAGAGTGAGGATTGCTTTTCTTTTTCCACCGCAGGCTGTGGATTGTAAACTTGTCAGCATGTTTTGGGCAATTAGAGTTGCACTGGGATGGAGATGTGGGAGGGAGGGACATCCCCAGATCAGGGGCTCAGGTGGTGTCATTCCCCTCCCGATGCTGAGAGCCCTGTTGAACTTGCAGGTTGCCATTGCCGGAGCGCCCGTCACGCTGTGGATTTTCTATGACACTGGTTACACGGAGCGTTACATGGGCCATCCGGATCACAACGAGCAGGGGTATTACCTAGGTTCGGTGGCCATGCAAGCTGAGAAGTTTCCTTCTGAGTAAGTTTGGTTCTGCCTCTTGCCTTCTACTTTTCCTACCAGGAAAGTTCAAGCCCCATAGACACATTTTTATCTCCCTGTTCTTGGCAATTGAATCCTGGAATCACAAATGCTAGTATTAAATAATAATTAAAAAAAAAAAAGACCAAAACCCAACACTAATAAACTTAATAGACTTGAATGAACATTTGCATAATCACAAGCCATTCCATGTAATCCCTTTTATCCCAACTGTAATTAAAGACTATCTTTTATGTCTAAAGAAATAGCAAACATATCTCCAATTATATGATTAGCACTTTAGAGCCACATTAAGCTCGACAAAAATTAGTTGATCAGAATGCTTTCTGCACGCTCTAAGGCTGTATCAGCACAGTGTTGTCTGCAGAGCAGGCTGAGACCATGGGCTTCCTTGCCAAACAGCTGAAAATCAGCAGTGATTCTGAGCGAGTGTTAAGCCGTTGTACTGTCCAAGCTAGGAAATACTTCTGAGAATAAAGATGATACACAGACGAAGGGTCTGACCATGACATGCGTACGCAGGAAGAACTTTTAGAGGAGGAAAGAATAAGTTTGGGAGACTCGTCCATCCGGAGCAATTTACAATAGTGAAATCGCTGTCTTCAATGCAAATAATTTTTGCTGTTGAGTGTTTTTGAAGGGATGTTTGTGGACTGTGAAATGACCGGCAGGTTCTGGGATGCTGTCTAGAAATGTTTGTCTCTTGCTTTTCTCAGACCAAACCGTTTGCTGCTGCTACACGGATTCTTGGATGAGAATGTTCACTTTGCACACACTAGTATTTTGCTCAGCTTTTTAGTGAGAGCTGGGAAACCGTATGACTTACAGGTAAGGCCAGAACCAGGATGTAAGTGTAATGTGTCTGTCTTAGACGGAGGAGTCCAAAATCGGAACTTGTAACGTGGCTGTGCTGGGCAGCTTGGAATTCTAGAATAAAATTGTAATATTTGACCCTAGCATTTTTTTTAAAAGGCAGATTTTATGAGTAAACAGAAAAAATACTAGACAAATGAGCAGTTAAGGCTGCTCCCAAGGAGATCTGCAGTTTGGAGGCAGTACAGCAGTGTTTGTGCAGCGTGGAACAGGGTTCTGCATTTAATTATACCCTGCTGGTTCTGTGCAGATGTAGCCCAGGTATTGCACAGCAGGCTGCAGAACTGGGAGCGTGCTGATTCACGTGGTGGCTCTGGACAGGATCAGCCAGGCTGATCACCTCCAGCACAGCACCGGCTGGATCAGAGGGTGCGGTGGGTGTCTCTGGGTTCAGGCAATGGAGGATGGGGTGCATTAGCTCAAGTGCAGGGAGATTGCATGAACATTTTGAATGCAGCTCTGGGGACTGGTTTAAACGTTGGTGCCAACTCTTGTGGATACTTATGACTTTATTTTCTATTTTAGATCTACCCTCAGGAGAGACACAGTATAAGGGTACCCGAGTCGGGAGAGCACTATGAACTCCATTTGCTGTATTACCTGCAAGAGAATCTGGGCTCTCGTATTGCTGCCCTGAAGGCAATGTAACTGACCTCCGCAGAACTCTGCTCCGCTGGCTGCTTTACCGAAGGAGGAGATGTAGGAAACTAGAGAAAATAGGATGGAACATTGCATTTTGGTGCCTGCCACATGTACACACACGTACACACACACACACACACACACCACACACACACACACTTTTTTAAAAGTAAATTTGGTGCCATACAGGAAATTAAAGTACGGTGACCTAATAACTTTAAAGCTTAAGATGTAAATAAAATCAAATGTCTGTGGTATAATGCAGTACCATGGGTGTTCTCTTGGGCGAGGAGCTGAAGCTGAAAATAACGTACTTCTACAGCACCAGATCTTCACTTTTTAAAAGCATTATGACATAATTGATGTATTTTTACAGCGTGTTCCTTGTTATCTTATTACATAATACTGGATGATTTACTCACTACACAGCAAGAGTTTACCTGAATGGTTACAACTTGTATTACATTTTAAATGCTATCATATAGCTTTTATGCTTCATGAAAGGGATGTGTCTCACTCCTTAGAAGCTGGTCACAAGTTAGACACATCACCTATCTAGGTGTTAATGGTTTTTTAAGAAGGAAGACTTTTAAGCTGCCTCCTAAAGAATTTAAATTTTGGATTCAGTTCAGTTGATGCCAGGTTCTTTTCAATGATTTCTTCTCTCCCCAGGATAAATCATACTCTTTTTTTTTTTTTTTTTTTCTTGCAGCAGCTTGAGATCCTATCCTGATTTGTACTTGATTTCGGTGGGGAAGTGAAATGATATTTTACTGTGATACAGGCGTAACAGTCTTTTATTCTGAGATGCAAACTAACAAGTCAAAGAGCTGAAACCTTGTAAATTTTAAAACAAGCTTAAAAGTGTAGCCCTTTTCTCACTGACATTCTTCCCCGATGTTCATTCTGGAGCTGGTTTTGCAATACTGTTTTCTCACCGTCACATCAGCGTGATACAGGTATATGCATCCTGTTACGATTTTAAAATTCGATACTCTAATTCAAAGGTCTGCAGAGGCTGTAGTGAGGAGAGACCTTGTGAACACTACATGTGAGGCAATACGAACCGTTTCATGGAATTTCCTGCTTTATTTGAGGGACTATTTTCCAGGCTCGTACTCTGTTCAGTCCTCCATTCCTGGGTCCTTCCTAACACTGCTGTGTAGCATGATGGTGCTGCTGTATTTGGGAACCCCCCTTCTGCATAGCTTAAGGTCACCCCGCTAAGCCTACAGGATATGCGATCCCAGTTGTGTTTTTGCTAGTGAGGTTTTAACTAAGCAGCAGGCTTGGCTAAAAGCATCATAAGTGTGTGGAGTCACTTTTAACTTGCAACAGGTCGTTTAAGATAGAAATCCATAGCAAAATGATTCTCTTTAATCCAGGAAATTCTCCCCTTGGGGCTTGCCTCTGAAGCTCCTATAAGTTTTAATGGTTTTCTTAGAAACCTAAGAACTTCCTTTTCTTTCTGTTTTGGTGCTAGAGAGAAGCAGAGCATGATTTTCTTTTCATCTTCTAAAAATCTGGAATCACTCTCAGTGTTTACTCTCTTAGTACTCCACATGTTGTAACCTTGTATTTTCCTCGCTTTTGTACTGTTCAGCTTGATCCTGGAACGCCGGGGTTTAACACAATCTGGCTGTATTGTATCAAACCGCATCGTTTTTCAGTTAGGCTGCTGGGCATATGCACCAAAGCTATCGGAGCTGGTGCAGTTACACGGTTGTAAAATCTGTGTGTGCGAACGGGATCTGTTTTTTGGGTTACACAAAAGATAGCCAAAACAAACAGGCAGGCAGTAAATGCAAATTTCCTCCGAGGTGGGGGTGTTTGCTTTGGGCTGTTTTCTGGTTTTCAGATCACAGGGATTATAAGTGGATCAGTTAAAATACCATTAGCAGGTCAATAGCAGGCTTGTGGTTTTATTTTGGGAAGGGCATGGCAGGGAAGGAGCCCGGCTCCTCTAACGTCTTCTCTTAGTAGTTAATCGTTGTGACTGAGGCGAACGCAGCATCCCTATAGAGTGTGCTATAGTCAGCACTGAGAGACGGGTAAGAGCGCCGATGCATTTGAACTAGAACAACACGGCAGTGAGTAGAGACAAGTATAAGCTGTTACTATGGAATTCCATTGTGTTCCTTGTGTGTTTATGCTGTATTATATATACATATATCTATATCTGTTCATATATACATATATGTATAAAATTACACGTGAATAGTATCACCTTTTCCAAGGTTGTTTATATTTTGTTCAATATTAAATTAACTTGCTTTTTGGGGTGTTTTTGTTCTTTTTCTAGAGGGGATTACCCTTGAATGTAAATGTATATGATTTTTAAGATGAAATGGATTCTTTTGTTTAAAAAACAGAACAAAAATGGCCTTCATCAAACAGTGCTTTTTGGGAACTGAAGAACTAAATGTTATGCAAGTAAACCAGGCGAGGTTTTGGTTTAGCACAGGATGTGATTATAAGTGCTGACACAGAACTTTTTAATAATGCATCCTTCCATTGTTTTAAATATATATATCGAAAAGCTATTAAAGTACAACGTACTGTAAGTACTTTATTTTGCAACATAAATTATGTATTTCTTTCTTTCCTACAATTTTTTTTCTTTTTACCGTAGTTAAGCACTTTAAGACCCCATGCTCTCTTATCCCATGGAAGTGCTGGGAGGATTTCTCATCAGAGTTTTGTAGTTCTTGCAAAAGACGCCTGCTTGTCGACGAAGGCGTGAGAGATGCCTTATCTGAGGTCTGACCCAGCCCTACGCAGTCAACGCCTAAATTCCCAGCGACATGGGAAGAAGGGCAAAGCCCGTTGCAGCTGAGACTGCAGAGGTAGGAAGGTGTTAGTGCTGAGGACCGTTGCATCGGTATTTTGGGGGACAGTAGTAGTCCTGCACCTCGTATGGTGAAGTGTTGGTCCAGCGCTGGACCGGAGCTGGCACAGAGAGTGGCGGTTTTGCCCTGCTCTGCGCCGCTGGGGTCACCTGCTCCAGGATGAGGCCGTACCTTGTGGTCCAGGAGATGGTACTGTCGCTCGAGAAGAGAATTCCAGCCTGTTTGATATTTGGGATTTTACTTTGTCCCTTCCTGCTTGTTAAAAAATGTCTTGGCAGAACTAATGAGATCCTGGGGGGGCGCGTGCAAGGGAGGTTGGCTGTGGAGCAAAAACGTGTGAGGAGGAACCGTCCCCGTTGCTCCCAAACCAGACGTTCGTACGTCCCTTTGGGGCATCTTCTGCCTTCGGCAGCGGTTGGCTCTGTGCTCTGAGCAGAGGCAGGATTGAGCCTTCATTGCGTGGTGGATATTAGTTGCACAGGTGTCTTTGAGATGAATGTTTTCATTTCATATATTTTAAAAAATATATATGAAATACGGGGATCTGAGCGATGAGGCACTGAAGTTGAGTGTTGATGCCAGCAGTTTCTTCTCGTTTGCAGCGGCCGGGACTGGTTGTGCTCCTTTCTGGTGGAAGCACGTTCTTTTGCCCTGTTTTAAGGCAGCATCCAGGAATTCCTCTTGAGTCTGCAATGCACAGAGCTGTTGGGTTTCACCCTTCGCATTGGAGTTGCACCCCCTACCCCACCCCTTTGTTTCCAATTCTCTCTTTTTATTCAGAACAAAGTAGAATTAGCAACTACCCAGGGCTGCGTAATTTTTATAAACTCAGTTAACTTGTTTGTTAATGAAATCTTGAGTTCAAAGCACCAAGTAAAGGTTTGAAAATCGACTAACTTTGTTATATTAGAATGGAAAATGCAGTCCCTACTTTCTAGTGGCGTTTGGGAATAGGCTATGGAAATACTTTGGGAGCAGGATGGTGTAGTAATGCTTTAACCCTGGAGCACCGTGCACCTGAGCCTGCGTGGCGACTTAGGGAGAGTTCACAAACTCCGAGCCCGGGGTGCTGACCCCTGTTCCCTACCAGGAGAGGTGGGCTGTGTTTCTGCTGCCTGTGTCCGTGTGTAAGGCAGGCTGTTTTGCTGCTGGCGTGATGCTCAACTTTTGACGAGGCAATAATAGAGTATAAATAAATGAAAAAATCAGCCAGATTAGGACACTGCCTTGAATTAATTGCCTGTTTACTTGAGTACCAGAACCCTGTAAAGACTTTGTGTGTGCCCCTCACGGTTCTCCGGGCCGCTCCTTTGGAAGGGGAAGAGATCTTCATGCGGTTTTTACTTGGCTGTTCTGCACAGTAGAAGTTCAGGTGTTTAATTTTAGAACATGAAGTGCCTGCTGTTTGCGTTAACAAAATTGCATGTCTCACTCCAGTGGGTTTATTGGTCTCCCTCCCTCCCCCCCCTTTCTGGCTACATGGCTTTTAATCATGTGAAGTGGAGACATTCGTTTTGCTGCGTTTTATTACAAAACCTTTGTTGCAATAAAGATGCTGCTAAATAAATTGAATTAAATGTTTTTTTCCCCCTATTTTCAACTGTCTCTCTTCTTGATTTAGTAGAGTTTGCGTGTAATTAAATCTCTTATTGCGCTGTGGAAAGCAGCAACGATGGAAAGCGTGTGTGTGTGCATTTTGTATACGTTGGGTGTTTAGCAAAAGCATCTGTGATTTTTCCTGCCCCATGTGGTTGGGTAGACCGATACGAACAGGCAGATCAGGCGTTTGCTGGGCATAACTACGTTCCCCCTCCTAAACGTTTCCACACACATGCTGTTAGCGGCCCTTGGCAGCCACCAGCCGGAGCTGTCGCACCGGGTACCGCACGTCCGCAGCTCCGCTGGCCAAGATGGGCCAAGAGCCACGGGGGAGGAGGTGGCCCTGGCGCCAAGGCAGAAGGACAGAGGGACCTGTGTCTAGCGGACGGGAAGAGACGTCTCTTCACGCAGTCGCCTCACGTATGTCTGGGTGAGCAGTGCGGGCTTTGCAGGCGCCCCGGTTCTGCTGCCCACAAAGGGCTGGTGGGGGGCTCGGGGCGGTCATAATGCACATTTTTACTCATTCAATCCTGGTTGTTCGCCCTCATGGAAGCACCCCGTTTTGGTGGCTTTCAGAAATACGCTGGTAACCAGCCGTGCGTTGATACGTTGCATTGTGCTTCCCTCGGGGGTTTGTGTAGGCCCTACCATAACATGGCAAAGCTTCCCCCGGAGCCTTCAGGAGCCCTTGTGCAACACAAGCCAGGACACAAGCGTCGCACCAGCAGCTGGCCCTGGGCTTTTGGGTCGCGGCTGGCGGAGGGACCTGCTGGTGCCTTTGAGCTGGATGTGCAGGTGTGGCTTCATC